GAAAACACTGGCATTTTAGAACTTGGGCAGGGGAGTATGCAGACAGGCTGAAGCTGATGTTTGGACAGGATGTTTCCCTGTGTGGCTTTCGCTTCATGGCAGTGGCGCAAGTCATCAATGAACCAGTCCAACAGTGTTTGACTGAAGGCTTTATACATGCTAGTGCTGCTAGTGGTTTGCAGTTGTTGTATGTCTGAACGCACGTATGTGTGTAGCTTGTGGCCTGTACAAACTGAATCCTGCATCCATGGCCTTGCGGCCTACGGCCAGGTCTCTGATTGCCAGTTGAATGGGCCGGCGTCGGACTTGCTCCGGCCGCTGGCGGCCTGTGACCATTTGGGAAGCGTGTTGGCTGCAAGAGCAGGGCTGACCGATGAGTTGCCATCCTTGGATCCCCTGCCACCTACAAGCCGTGGCGATGGCGTAATTGACCTTGAGATGCGCAGTCCACTCGCGACTTCACTGGAAGTCTTGGATCTGTCAGGAAACAACTTGAGTTTCCTTGCTGCTATACCACCTGCCTGCCATACGCTTGTCGTCGTTGAGAACATGCAGCCACTCCACGTTGCTGCCGGTGAATTGGCAAAGGCTCTCAGAAGGCAAGTTGTTCTGGATATGCGGGAGACTATTTTGCACAATGATTCCATGAAGGACGTGGAGATGCTACTCAGTTCCCATGACATAAGCAGGACAGTTGATCGAACGAACTTTCGCACGGACAAAGGGTACGCCTGCTTTGATCTAGATCGGAGCACCACCACTCTGGAGATTACACCAGCAAAGCTCATGCCAGAGAAGTGGTGCAGTTGCTTGCCAGGTTGGCATGGCACTGGCATCAACTGCAGCGAGTGTTCTGAAAATACCTTCAGCACCAACATGAGTTCGCCAAGTTGCACGGCATGTCCAGCAAACTCCACCAGCCCGAAGCGCTCCAAGTCAGTGCACGAGTGCAAGTGTCAGCGTGGGTCTGTGCGCCAGGTCGACAGCAACACTTGGATTTGTGGATGTCCACCGGGCCGAGCACTCTTGGAGGACTCCTGTGTGTCCTGCGAAGCTCCTCGGTTTCCCCAAGATGAAGGACGACTTTCATTCCCTAATTTTGTAGCCGGTGGTTTAGACAAGCTAGGATACTATAATCTCGTCACCTGAGGACAGGCACCTGAATTGCTCCAGCAAGCTGTCTGACGTGAAGTCCGCAGAGCCTTTGACGGGCTTTGCCCGATTGCAGGAGAATGGAACGGAGGCTGTCAAGCACCCCTACACCCTAAAACCTAAACCCTAAACCCTACACCCTACTCCCTACACCCTACACCCTAAACTCAGACTCTGACTCCACAACCTGAAACCTTTCATCCTCGACCCTAAGCCCTAGATTGCCTCAGCCCTCAACCCCAAGGCTTTCCAGTGCCTCGTGGCAGCCCGCTGTCCGGGTGGGAAAGCCGGTGGCCTAGGCTGCGAATCGGGCGTCTTGGCTGACACATGAAGGCACAGACTACAGGCTACTCCTCGACGTCATGTACATGGCATCTCAGGCCCCCAAGTCTTAACTGCTGCAAGACCGAGGCTACGCGGGCCCGCTTTGCATGGCATGCAGTGAGACCTACTTCGAGGCAGGCCGCATGTGTATCGAATGCTCGGAAGGAGGTTTCCCACGGTGGCTCATCAAAGCCGGCGTCTGTCTGATGCTTGGTGTCCTGCTCTGTGCCTGCGCAGCAGCCGTTGCTTACTTTGTCGATCACTGGTCTCCGGGCCACCGGGCAGAACAACTGCTGCAGTACCTGGAAGAGACTATTTTGGGTGAAGGTGTACTCGGCAACATGCGAAAGAAGCTGCTGAAGAATGAGATCCCTTTGCTCATTCAGATGTGTCAGCTTTGGGTCGTTGTTGCGGCATTCGCCAGTGCCGTCAGCCTTGCACAGGATGAGACTGCGGGAAGCGGGCTTTGGGAATTGCCTTACATGGAGACCTTGCAGCTGACCGTTGAGAACATACAAGAGCTTCTCGACTTGCAGTGCTACTTCGGTGGTGCTCGGGTGCGTCTGGCTATCGGGCTACTTGCACCGATGCTCCCGCTTTTGTTGCTTTTCTGCTGCCTGGGTCTCGAGTTCTTCAACGCCGGAGCAGGACTTCGCTTCTCGTGACTGTTGCTGTTGCTTGAGCGCAGGCCGGCTTTGCCAGTATCCCCTCTGGAGCGCTTTTGTTGACATGTTGTGAGGAGTCAATGCAGCCTTGAAGATTTTGACGCTATTCTTTATCGGTGGTGCCTCGAAATGTTTTTCCTTGCAGAGTTGCCAGCGATTTGATGCAGGCCAGGCGTTGGTGACGCGTCACGATGGCAGAGCAGAGTTCTACCTTCCACACCCCTTTTTTTCCAGCGGCCTTATTCGTAGTCACAGTGCCTGACACCTTACCCACTGGCGGACAGCACCTGGTATGTATGGTGAATATGATTATGCAATTCTCATGTGGCAGTTACGTGTCGCTCGGAGCGGTTGTTGCTAGCTACTGAGCTACTGTGTAGGTCTGCAATGATTTTAAGCATGCTTCGTTTCGTGCTAAACGGACACAGAGTCGTAGAGCTAGAGTTTATCAGATGTCTCGTGTAAAGGTCTAGAAGTCCTACAGCTCTTCATCGTTGTATGCAGGGTTCCGAGCAATCAGACCGCTCACTGTACTAGTCGTTGCAACCTGGGGTGTGTTGATGCTTCCATGAGGCCATCGCAGGACTCACTTGCATCCCTGCGACTGTTCTTTTTGCCCCCGGTTCAATCGTGTCTGACAGGCGGCGAGAAGCTTGCGGATGAGTTTGCATTCTTGAGACAGCTTCCCGATCTTCGTTGCAACTTCGAGGCTTCGCCCGAGCTCCATACAGCGGCGGCCTCACGACATGTAGCCTGCATCCTGAAGAGTCTTACTCTTGCTCATATGTGCGGGTTTTCTTGAGGTTGTTGCCGTGTTCTGGCCATGTGCCATATGCTACTCCATCTTGATCCCGTGCTTCCTGATCTACCTCTACCTTCGACAGCACAAGCTGTTGCACATCAAGCGGGCTCCTCTGCAGGTGAACAACGGGAATAAAGATGAGTGCAGCTTCTATGTTGCCATGGAGGAGCCTGCGTGTGTACTTGCTCCTTTAAGTCGCAGCTTCTTCAGATTCTCAGGCATGTCAGGGTCGGGCATCCTTCCTCGGGCCTCGCTTTGTAGAAGATGTTGCCTGCTGCCTGCCTTGCTCTTTGCAGTCTAGGAGTCGACATTTGCCAAGTACCTGGTTGTGTTGGTGCGCGCTTTAACAGGTGGAGCAGCGCGTGACAATGGCATGGTTCTGCAAGACTGGTTTGTACCTTGTAGTGAATGTCCATGGCCTCGAGGGGTCTAGCTTGTCACGCTGCATGCTCCGTGTTGCTGGTCACTCGAGTTCAAGTAGAATTTTCATGCTTCTATCAGCATCTTCACCCCAGCAGCCTCTCATTTCCTTACCATGCCTCTGCAGGAGTTTTGCAGGCAGGTGTACCAAACACAAAGTGCTTGGAAGTACACCCAATCACAGGGCCTTTTCATGCCCTGTCGCACTTAGAGCCGCTAAACATGCACTGCGCAAGAACATGCATGCAGGCTAAACCCTAAACCCTAAACCCCTAAACCGTGGCTTCAGCAGGGGAGTGTCTCACTTTCTTCCAGGAGCGCATGCTGCAGAAGCGCTTGACAGCTGCAGCCGTGGCCTATGTCGCTGTGCTTCAGAAACGCAACGTTCGAGTGCAGCTGCGCGAGGGCAAGGGGAGCCTTGGCTGGTGTGGCTCTGGGTTTCAAGAAAGTAGGTCCAGTCCGACAGCCGATGATGTCATGTCTCTTTCGCGGGTCTTCTTGGCAACAGGGGGCAGTGACAAGCCAAGGGAATTCTTGTGCTGCATGGTGTTGCATGCATTTTTTGGAGACTCATAGATTTTCTGTTGTTTCACGATCATGGGTCAGTGTTCTCTGGCCAGGATGGTGACCTTGTTGGATGGCACTCCCGTGGAGTTAGACGCCGCTGGCCTGAACTTATCCAAAACTTGCAGCTGTGGTGTTCAGTGACTGTAGCCGTTGGTATTCAACATAAGGTGAATCCTGCGCACTTTGAATTTCAACAAGAATCAGATCGACTCCGGCACCATGCCATCACCGAGATGTTGGTGGAGCGTCTCTTAATCGAAGAGGAAGGAAAGAATGACCGCAGCCTGGCTGACGGTTTAGGGTTTAGGGTTTAGGGTTTAGGGTTTAGGGTTAGGGTTCGGCTGCGGCTAAGTTCTGCCGGCGCCACTGACTTGGAGTTTGCACATGTGTGGGCTGGCCGAGGAGTGTTGCGGGGTGCCAAGGAGCTTCTCTTCAAATATGTTCCTTGCTTGAGCAGAAGGTGCAGATGTGGAAATGGGGGATCCTATGGATAGCGCAGTCTGTCTCTTTTGTTCCTTAGGTTTTCGGGTCTGATTGAGCTACCATGTTGCTTGACCCAGTCACAGCAGATCCTTGGTCCTTGAGTCAGCCCCACAGAGCCAAGGGCACGTGCCGCGATTTGTGGATGGAGGTGGTTCTCAAATTAGTTGCTGTGGCATTGGTTAACGTTTCTTGACCAAGCTTGGTCGCAGCGATTGCTTCTTGAGACTGCCTAAGACGTGCAACAACGACTGCTTGCCATGGTCCATGTGTGGGAACATGTGGGTGGGGCCTGATTGCACCGCTGAGGTGGTATCGGCAGCTCAAGTGGCATCTAGCACGGAAAAGGAGGTCCCTTCCCTTCCAATGCTTGGGTTGGGGGACTAGGCCTGTAATCCCGCAAGTGGCAACCTGCACCATAGTGCAGCCATCCTTCTTTCGACGGCCTGTCTCCTGTGAGACGGGGAGGAGTGCACCTTTTGACCTCAAAGGTTGTCGTTGCATCAAGCTGAGGCCTTCGAAAGGGAAGACTGATTCAGAAATTCTAGACATGCACACCTCGAATCCTGCCACTTTTGAGTAGCAAAAGCGGCTCTGTAAAAGCGGCTCAGGTTCTACTATTTGCTGTGGGCAAGGTCGTCATCATCACGCTCGGTCTCCAGGCAAATGCTTGGATTTCTTGGAGGTCTTTTGAGAGTAAGTTTTGGGATTAAGAGTAGTTGCATTGCCTACAAAACCATCATGCCGTGGATATCTGAATGATACTAGCAATGGGAATCCCAAGAGTTCAGAAGGTTCCAGAATAACAACCCCCAACCCCCACCAGCCTAGAACACTAGCCCCGAGTCGCAAGCCTGTCGGTTTGCTGAGACCTACCCAGGTATGGCTTTCACTGTTTGGATGGTGCAGCCGTACGGGGAGCCGCAGGCAGGTGGAAGCTTGTTGGGGCTGTGGGTGCTTCTGAAGTGCTTCCAGCAGAGCAAACCCTAAACCCTAAGCCCTTCATTGGGATACTCTACTCAGGGGTGCATGTCAGCTGACAGCATAGCAGCCATGCTGTCAGGGGCCTCCAGGCCTCCATCTTCCGGGGGGCTCCAGGAGATCTGGAAATTTTTTTGAAACAAGCCTGGAAGAAACATGAGGGTAGTTCTCTAAATTAG